GGTTATACAGTGCGAATTGATCAGCTGGATTTAGGACTATATTTTTGAGTCACCAGGAATGAAAATTTTCAAAATTTGTTGCAATCGCTCTTGAAAGTTTGAGTAACTAACAACAGCTTATTGACAGTAACGCCCATCACAAAAAATATCATCAAGCGGCCCTGATTTCGATGCAAAAAAGTTCTCGATGGGAATTTCACGAAGGGTTTTCAAGTATGATTTCAAGGATGCTCAAAAACTGGAATGAAGTGTAACTTTTTCATTATGTATTAATGCCAGACCTAATGCTAGCTATTGCTTTTAAGGAATTCTCAAAATTTATAGTTTGCCGCAAGGTTGGACTGCACAAAGCGAAACGTTGAAAATGATTGAGATTTCAGCAATGTTAACTGAGCCCAGAAAACTGTAAAGTTGAAAATATTATGCAAGAATGTAACAAGAAACGAACTTTGAATTTGTCGACCCATTTCATTGGGTCGTTTATTTGAGGGCACTGTTGTCACAGTGTGAGAGAACTGTCCGCGCATCTGATCTTGCGGGTGTATCATATTCATGTTCTGCCGTCGCAAGTCTTGTAAGTGTTGCTGCTGAGGAACTTGGCCACCAGTCAAAGAAACTTGAATTAAAATGAGTACGTTTGATTACAATTTGAAGCATTTTATAAATGTGAGCAGGTGTAACAGCTCAGCACGAAACAAAAAGATAAAATACCGGGCTGGGGCTTCTGCTGTGGAGACACCATCTGGTGACTGATCGGTGATTGTGCTGATACAGGAGACATCATTCCAGACTGCAGAATTGGAGAGGGCATCATCTGGAGATAATTAGCTTATGCGAAGCAGTTTTTAAAGTTTGCATTGAGCAAAAAGTAGAAATATAAAAAAACCTAATTTGTTGATATTAAGTAGCATGATTTTTTAAAAAGTCACATCGCTGGGTGCATCAACATGTCGCCCTGGTAACCAAATTTATTTACAGAAATTGCGCACATAAAAAATTATGCTTGAAACCAGCTTTTTAAGTAGCATAAAAAAAGCTTGGGCTGGTGTCAGAGTCGGCGATCCGTCGCGCGATTCGCGCGAATCGCAAAAATCGCAAGTGCCCCATTTGAACATTTGAAACACTGAATATGAAACAAGTAGAATCATGAACAGTCGTCATTCAACCATCACCATCAAGCAGAAATGGCGGCGGGATTGGAGAGCACCTCGCAGTATTGACCGGGGCACATGTGACTTCTGAGATCCGTCGCGAATCGTGGACTCTGACACCAGCCTTAGATTCAAAGAAGAAATTCTGCTTAAGAGAGAGTGCTTTGTGCATGGGACATAATTTTATGAAGCATAGCAGAAATTGAATTTCAGTACTGCCGTTTGTAACACTGTAACCAGAGAAGAGAAGTTCGCCCTTTTTTCAGGATTTACTTTTGCATGCGGATAATACACTTTCAGGCGGAGTGATCATTTTGTACTCCTACTGACTAGTATAGGGCGCCATTCGTTGCGGGACCCACTGCCTTAACCCGCGGGGATCCCATGTGATCGCGGTTGAATTCGAACATTCCAGCTTCTCACGCATGTCAAGTGTCTGCCCTCACCCCCCACCCCCCTAGACTGGCGACACTGCCCCTGGCTCACGGATTCCCCGCTCCACATTGAAGGGTTCACTGTAGCAGGAGGCAGTGGGACCCGTAACGAATGGCGTCCTTTACTAGTCAGAAGGAGTACAAAACGATGCGTTCCTTGCAGTGGAAAACTCAGGGATGTTGCACGAAAAGTTTTAAAAGGGATTTCAACTTTGAATTGAAGGGATTGCCCCCTGTGAGTTCAAAAAACACACAGATTTTACCTGGCAGTTCCGGCCAACCTAGTTATTGCTAAGATCAGGAAAAAAATTGGTCAGGAATTTTGCTATCCATATCTTCGTGGATTTTCTTACACTTTCTAGGCAGCTATCATGATTGGGTTGGAAAGGTGGTTTGGCGTCGCTCTGGACCTTCACCTTTTTGGCTTTTGTGAACCAGTGACAGAAGAAGCTTTACCCCTTCGAAAAATTTAAGTTTCAAATCACTTGTGAACTCAAAGATTTCCTTCGATTACAATGGCTAAATAGCTCGAAAAGTGCGCTGATGAAACATACACAATTTCTGAGCAGCCGAGCAGAATATGACTGCCACAGAAAGCGTGCCCCACATATTTCGAAGCTTACTAGTAGGATTAAATGTCTCCATGCAAGGAAATATGATAGCACAAAATAGCAGGATGAATGCGCTAAATATTTTGATACGTTAAAGACAGACAAAAATTTAAAATCTGAGCATTCTGCATTCTTTCAGAACTTTTACTTTTTAGTGAACAAGCTGAAAATCTCGTCTAGAAAACTTATCACGCGTATTCGCAAACTCCATTTATTTCTGGCATTATCTTCCTTAAAAAATTTTCGAAGTATTGCTGAGGTAAAATTTAACCTGAGTGGCCAGACTAGGAGAAGCATAGGAGTGGTGCACCGACGATATTCCGGCGAGAGGGTCTAAACGCGGCGGTGGCAACGTCAGCGGGGGAAGTGCGCCGACAGAGGTTGTTCCTGACGGTATTCTCCCAGGCGCCGATAGCCGGGATTCCGGTTCCGACATCGACTAAAACATATAGCTATGAAAGTAGTGAATGTACGAGCAGAAGATGCCTATTATTTAGCAGGCGATCTGGTATAAAAGTTAAGCAGACAACATAAACAATAATACTCGATCGGACACATCGTAAAAAAAATGTCTTAGGTTTCGAATGATAGTGAAAAGCAGAGTGAGACGACGACACGAGGCAGGAAGCTGTTTCTTTACAAGGAAAAAGGCACTGATTAATAGGCATGGCAACGCATTCGTGCTTCACACAATTTTGAAGAAGGCTCATTATTCACCAACCATCCGCAAATAATGTACTAGTGACAATTCAAAGAAGACGTAAAATACATCTAGTGGTAAGAAAAAAGCATTACTTAGAAAAGGCATCTAGCTCCGTCTAAAAACCGAAAGAAGAAGAAAAAGGGATACATACTGCCTATTCGAAGTTTAAAGGATCATCAACAAAGGAGCAACACCGGAAATATGAATAGGTGAAAGTATGCTAGTGCTAAGCATAAGTGAACTCAAGTTTTGAGTTTTAGAAGCAAAAATCCTTTCAGAGCGGTATTCCAAAGTATTAACAAAACCACTTGATTCAGTGTGATACACAACGAAGATAACGAAAGAAAGCTATAAGAAAAAAATCGTTGAAAGGAACAAAATGTGGAGCTTCACAGCCAGGTTTTTTAAGAATACAAAATCTATTTTTTCACCTAACATCATACCAAGCATCGCTAAATTGATATTTCAACGTTCGTCGCGCGGCGCTTTGTAAAGTAAAGGGCAGTGCCGAGGAAGCTTAAATTAGGTAAAGGTATGTTCCTTCATGTGCGCGCGGTCGCCAGGCGATGCTAGCACTGGAGCACGACACACATTTGGCCCTTCTCGATGGGCTCAACCTTTTCATGAGCTGTGCGCTTTAGTTCATAATCCTTATTTAATTTTGGATATCATTTCGTGATGTTCGAGATAAAAATCCGATTCAGCGTCCTATGGCACAGTGATAGCTTGACTTAACAAAAGACTCGGTAAACGACCGTAAATAGATTTCTGATCAAAGATTCTATGATTATGATAAGTGGAGGCGATCTGTATAACCAGAATGCGAAGAGGAAATGAAAAATTTTCTGTTGCAAACCGTTCCTACTTCCTTAAATGAAAATCAGTTACCAGACAGTTCCAACAAATTACAAGCTTTCAGCGCAACTGTCCCGTACAGGCACTTTATAACCATTGACAAATTTGAAACACGACATCACACAGTAAAAATCTCCAATAAACCGTCATCGAAAGCTCCCACACAGTCTTAGACCGAAACACTCTTCAGACCTTTTCTTGAGTATGATATCTGAAGAAGAAAGTCAAAGATAAAATCGACATGTTTAGAGTTATTGAGAAGCAACTAGGAAGACTTTAAGGTCTCACGAGCTTAGCAAAAGTCAAATATGACCTCCACCACCACCCAACTATATATACTATTACGACCACAGTTACTTTGTTATCGTCCGATTACATAACCGAGTGTAGGCCGATGTCATAGTTTGCGAATCGAGCGATTCGCTAGCGAATCGCTGGATCCGAGCGTTGCGCCAGCGAATCGAACGTTGCACCAGCGAGTCGAACTAGTACCAGCGATTCTCAGTAGTGGCGGGACCCAACGTTTAAAGGAAGCCCGCCACTTTCAAACAGCGTCCACTTTGTCACGTGACACTGTTTGAAAGTGGCGGGCTTCCTTTAAACGTTGGGTCCCCGCCACTATTGAGTCGCTGGTACCTAGTTCGACTCGCTGGCGCAAAGTTCGATTCGCTGGTGCAACGTTCGATTCGCTGGCGCAACGCTCGGATCCAGCGATTCGCTAGCGAATCGCTCGATTCGCAAACTATGACATCGGCCTACGTTTAACATCTGCGCGATCGTTACGATCGAACGACCGACAATATACGTCCTGAGGCTGCTTCCATAGCCTGCGCCGTCCGCGGACCACATGGAGAGTGCGAAAGAGCGTCCACGCGCTCTAGCGCACAACGCGCACTTGGCGCAGAATCGACGCCTTGCGCGTCATGCGCCAGTGCGTATGTTAATTCTCTTCGCACTATGCGTACGGTCCGCACGAACCGTGCCGACGGGCGTCCGGACACGTGGACTATGAAGGAGCCTTGGGCCGATGTCAGACTTTGCGAATCGCGCGATCGCTAGCGTTCCGCGGTCGCGTTGCGGTACCAGCCAATTGAGTGATTCACTGGCCGCGACGCGACCGCAGACCTAGCGAATCGCGCGATTCGCAAAGTCTGACATCGGCCTAGGTGAATGTCAGACTGCGACTCCAACGATTCGCTAGCGAACTGCGGAATGGCGCCAGCGAATCGAGCTGTGAACCAGCGAATCGAACTACATGCGAGCGGATCGAACGATGTACCAGCGACTCAAACTGTTTGATAGTGGAGAATCCTCTGACGCTCGCCACTTTCCCGAGCTCCAATACCTTCTCACTCTCTCTGATGCCCTCGTGAGCCCGGGAAAGTGGCGAGAGCCAAGATTCAGAGAATTCCCGCCACTTTCAAACACTGTAGAGTCGCTGTTCCACCGTTCGACCTGCTGGTACATCGCTCGATCCGCCGGTACGCAGCTTGAATCTCTGGTTGCAATGCTCCTATCCCGCGATTTGCAAAGCCTGACATCAGTCTCACTCAAACTTGAACTGCAAAACCTAATATTGAAATATTCCGCTAGCAATCTAGGCAGCAAATCACTTATCAAGTATAGCCTTTTCCAGTTTTATTTCAAGAAATCTTAGGTTGACTCCCACTCCCAGCCTACTGGAACTAGAATGGCGGCAAGCTATAAAAAAAAACGATTTAAAAACAAGAAAAACGAACAAAAACGTTCGAAATCGATGAGACCGCGCTCATTATTTGCGACTCCTGAGATGTGGATAGCGCACGATATTGAAAAAAGTATGTATTGACAGGGAGATTAGGATAGTGGTTGATTAGGATAGCAGGAGAGTAGGCAGCACTGCGCTGACGACACTGATAGTACCGATTGTCGGAGATAGGTGATTATGATATTGGTAGTAGTGCGAAATTAGGATAGGATAAATAGGTGACTCTAATGGCGTGAGCGGAGACATTCCTGTGTGGGGAGCCAGTAATGTTCTGGTTAGGAATACGGCTATGAAGGTGAAGGGATTTCAAAGAGAGACATGAGCATTATGTTTTCTTCCTTGGCATTTTCCTCCTTTCCCTGAAGGTTGTTCTGCTGTCACCTATCACTGCGCCTGGGGCGAAATTCGGGTTCGGGGGGGGGATGTGATGGCGCGGCGCTCTGTTCGTCTTCTCCTCCAAGGCTTAGTCCACAGGGACAGTTACTCTTTCGCCATTACGTGGCAGTTTCAAAATACGCGCCATTGGTGACTAGGCCTGGTAGAGCAGACGAAACAGCACCTGCGCCATCGCGTGCCCCCCCCCTCGCCTCCCCACCCGAGTTTCGCCCCGCCCTGTTTTGAACGCCCCCCCCTCCCCCGCGCCCCCCCTCCCTCCTAAGGGCATGAGTGCGCCGATTGGCCAAAGGGCGCATGCATAGTCAGTCGTCCGACTGTAACGATACGTGATGTAACGTCGAATACTCAGGCAAGTCTGACGATCGATACGCATCGAATGCTGTGCGACAGTTACGATCGTTGCTGTCGGGTGACCGACTATGCATGCGCCCGGATAGTGCGCTGACTAGATACGTATTGATAGATTCGCTTGAAGACGCAGAATCTACTACTCTCCAGCGATTTCAATCGATACGTATCCAATCTTGTCAGCGCAATCTCCTACTCTACTACTATCCTAATATCCTATCGCCTACTATCTAATCTCCCCAGTCGCGAACCATGAAGGCGGCCCAACGGTGACGCAAATACGCGGAGAGTATCGATCTCGGCGAGTGGCGCGCTCGGAAGCATGTTTGGCGCCAAGTTTGAAAGCGGCCTGGTCAATAAAATTGCTTGCAAGCAAGAGGAAGTTCCCATACAAGTGGACTTTTTCTCTTTTTTGATTTGATGCTTAGGCGCTGGCTTTATTGGGGGGGGGGGGTTGGGCCACTCGGGCGCGGCGCTCTAATTGTTTGCTCCTCCATGGCTTAGTCCCAGGGGCAGTTACTTTTTCGTCATCACGTGGCAGTTTGTTTCAAAATACGCGCCATGGGGGAGTAAGCCTTGGAGGCGTATTCGAAAAGAGCGCCGCGCAGCCGCGTGCTCCCCCCAAATGAGTTAGCACCGGTGCTTACTCTGTAAAGCTACAACGCCATGGTAGAAGTCCCCTTCTCGAATTCTTATCGAAGGTTTACCCCTGGTTCCGGAGTGCGCTAACCATAAGTGTTTTTCACCTCTGAAAGGTAAGAAAGATCCAAGAAACCCAGACCTGTCATTGGATACTCACTGTTCTATCACATGGTCAGGCACTATCTCAGTGACCAAGAAATTTTTCGAACCTGAGCGACAACCACACTCGCAACATGAATTGTAGTGAAAAGTCTGAACACGTGGAAAGCACCTGAAAAGGGTGATACGTGAGGCACCTAAATTTCAGTGTCTTTACCGCGAACCGGATTTCCTCAGAAAATTAATCTGTGCAGGACCGACAGCTCCACCTACGCTTCATTGTTGTGTAATCCCAAAACGCGCGCCAATATTCCGAAAGTATCGTTTACTGAAATTAGCTGAGGTAGGTTTCTTATCATTTCAGCATCTCTTCCAGTGCAAAAGGGCTACCGTTTGGAGCCAAAACTGCACTCCACATTGAAAGGACTACATTTAACGGTGCACTACTATTAATCGTTGCAGGACCAGCTATCGGATCCTTTAACAGAGTGCAAGCACCAAGCGGCAGAGTATGAAGTGAGCTGTGCAGCGGGCTGCCATGCGATCCTTGTTGGACCTTACTTTTACCGAGAACAGGTGGTCTTTTGATAAGAGTATTCTAAGTTCTGTACCTGTACTTGGAACCCTGACAATGATATAGAAGAGGGTTCACTTTTGGGAACGGTTTGTTCTCGTTAATGACGAGCCGTAGTATTTAAGGAAGTAAAGACAATGGAAAGTGTGTTTGAAAAGAAAATAACTAGAAAAAGCATCAGGACTGGGAGCTGGGGTGCTCGAGACCATCGGGTCGTGACGCGACCGCACGCACATGTTGCTGTAAATTTTGTTTGCAACTTTTCTGAGAGACCGTGCTATTGCGTCATTAGTCACCTATAGTTCCTAAATTGTTTTTTATGGTCTAATACAAACCAAGAGCTTATTGAAGTGCAAGGATTTAGGCCTATGCGCCGTGGAGGGGGTCCCATCCATCATGGAGCCCCTATACCTACCACGTTGGGGTTTGCGTTTCCAGCTTGCGTCACCGAAGCCCTCATTCAGGTATGCTAGCGAGAATTCCCGATGTTTCTTCCTCAAAGGAAAGCGTTGTCGTTTTTCAGGTTTCCAAACACGTCCGTTTGTCGAGTCACGGTCGAAGTCGTCCCGCTCTGACGAAGAACAATGATCTCCAACTGCTTATCGACAACGAAATATTCTGTCTTAGTGCGGATCGGAAGGGTTCGCGACTTTCGCAACTCCAAGAATTCACTCTCATCAATCATCTCGCTCACTTTTTCACTGTAAGTCACTGTTCATGACCTTTTGACCGTAGGAAGTTCAGCGACACTTGTATGGGATCAGCAAAGCAACATTTATAGCTCACGTTCTGAGAGATTCAGCAAGAACTCTATATATCGACCTACAAGAAGATTTAAGTATCAATAAGGATAACTGCGGAGTCGCCGAAAACGCTCCTTCAGCGGAGACGCCAAATCTCACAAAACGTGAGCTGTGAACTGTTCCTTATAGTTGGATAGTAATGCTGTTTAGGAGTTTGCTTTTGTGCCAATCAATGTGGAGAGGTTCTGTATTTGATTTGAGAGGATCTCGTTGAAGATACTATTACTGAGAATAGCGGTTCCAGTAATGCTAAACTTCCTCAAAAAGCGTGGGGAGCAGGGAACGGACTAGCAAATTTCGAATTTCATGGCAATTCGTCTTAAATCCCAAATTCTTTTGAACATCTAACAATTTCCTATTCTCGACTCACTGCTTATTTCTTGTTTTGGTTTTTCTTTGCGTGGTGGGAACGTACGTACCGTAGTGCGCATTCTTCCAATTGATATTATTTAAAGAAATTGTCTCATATTGCTGCATTTCTGCGATCAAGGCCGTCACAGGCTTACGCATAATCTCTAATTTTTGCTTCGATACACTTCAGGAAAGAGACGAGATGAACAAGTACGCATACTTTGAAGTTCTGTTTCTTGGAAGAGAGGGCGAGTCACATGTACACGAGCTCAGACTTCGTATTTTGTACCGATTGGCGTCGTATGCATTGCAGTTTCCCGTTCTCCAATTATATGCTCAGATTTCTCTCTGGCTTTCGAAGGTAGGCTTTCATTCAAGTGTTTCCACTTCTTCTAACCAGGCTAAGCCATATGTTAGGTAATTTGCCGCCGATACTTGCTTCGGGGGAAAGTTTTTAAGTGGAATTGGCTATGTGTTTTTACAAGTAGGGCTCACGTCTCCCATGGCCTTTCAGGAATTCGGAGACAAGCACTTGGTAGTAGTGGTGCGAATCGGCCGGGGGAGGAGGATATAAGCAGCGCCTTATGCCCGCTAGATTAGTTTGTGCTAATCGTGTTCCGAAATACAAAGTTGCTAAATCCACAATGTTCTAGGTAGGGAATACCAAGCCGTATGCTGAAGAACTAGTTGCGGTTCTAGCAGAACACTATCTCAAGCCAAGCGATTCGAAAATCGTAAGTTGTTTTCGTAGTTCATTTGTGAAGTCGTGATTCTCATTGGATGAATGCTATCGTTGTACTCCACTCTGAAAAGGGCATGAATTTTTTTAGTACGAATACCTCTTGCCACTTGAAACGTCCTGCCCAGAGTTCACCGTGTTCTTCGTTGTTTATGCCACTCGGTTACTGCCAATAAATCGGCCAATGGCGGCCGTTTTCGCTAGTTACATCAACAGGAATCCAGGATACTTTCTCAAAGGATTCAGAGATTCTCCCCATCTAGCTGATATTTTTCGATCAGAGGTGTGAATTACCGAGCTTTAGTATCACGAATAATATAGCTTCGGCGTTCTATTCAAGATTTTTTTAGGTTTTCGAAAAAATGCTATCATATCTACTTGACATGGACAGCGAACCTTCATGTGATCTTGAGGCTATGAACTTTCACACAGCGGTAATGGTACTGCTAGACAAATGGAACACTACTATCAAGAAGCCGCTCGACATCAGTACGTTCATTTCGATGCTTTTCAGCCTTTGCTAATATCCACAAGACTTTTTACACCTTATTGCTAGTTAAGGAAGCGGTATTTCCCAATAGGAAGTGCAGACTTTATGTTTCATTAGAATTAATGTTCAATGGTGAGCATTTAGATATGCTCTTCGATCCGGAAGTGCGATGGTCTCGTTTTCGTTGCGACGCTCTATGCATTATCGGTTCTAAAAGCTTGGCAGCTTGCAAAATGGTTATCAATGTGCGTCGTTTTTCTCGCTGGTGCCATTAGAGATTACGGCTATTGTGTTCCAGAAACTCGAAGGCTGCAAGGTTCCTCCGGTGTATGCGGCTTTATTATCAGACGCTCAAGCAAGGACTCTAGCTTCATTTTCAGCTCAATAATTTCTGTAAAAATTTTGTTTTTGTTACGTTTTCTCATTGTCTTGCGGGTATCATTGAAATTAATAAATTCATATCACTACGTTCTCTTTTCCTGTTTTGACAGTAAAAGTCTGACTTTATTTTTTCTGTTTTCCTGTTCGGCCTTATTTGGCATTTTTCAAAGAACTGTAATCCTGATACAGGTCCCGTCCCATTACCATGATATCCCGTCTTTCATCTATCAATGTGGGACGATGTTTCGTACGTATTCACACATTAAGGCTATTACGGACATCAGCCATCGTAGCATCTAGTCATCACGGTAATACATTTTTTCTTAGTTTATGAAAGTAGGATCAGTAGAGTCAATATTGTTTACTCTCTGAGAAGAGTGTGGCACTGATTCATCCAAGAAAAGGATGAAAGCAAAGGATGCAAGGTGTGGTTAGCTTACGCAATATTTCACCGCCGCCATCGGCCCCTGTGTATGGTAATTACCGTCACTTGCCGCTGCATCACGTTCGCCCATGAATTTCGATAATAGTTATTAATCCCTTGGCGAGGGTCTCAGTCGTTGTGCTGGTCTAATAGCAGATTTGCATATGTCATATAAATACTCAAATTCCAGATGAACCTCAACCGCCGTTTGTTCCAAGGCCGTCAAGTGGTGAAAGGACTTGGCTGGGAGAACTGAAGGTTCAACCCTATGAATATAAACTAAATTAGTAGTAATTTTCGGTGCTAAGCAATTTCGATGATTTTTCACTTATTGACAACGTTCTTCTAATTTACATTGCAACTTTTTCAGCCGCCGCGAGAAAAGTTTCCAAACGAGCCATACAAGCCGAAAAAAGACGACATATACTCCTTTATTGGAGCTGGTGTGGGCATACTACTGACTGTTTTAGCCATAGTTAGTTTACTTTTTTATTCTCATTATTCAAGTAGTTTGAATTAATCTTAGTTGGTTGGGTAATCTGCCTAATGGGTGCCTTTTCTTTTCAATCTGTGCTACCCAACTTAACCCGGTTACTCCATTACTCACTGTCATTATAATCGTATTATCGTGTTTTTTATATTTGCACGAAATCGTCTCTCTCACACATTAGTCACTATTTATCTAGTTGTACTTGAAGCCTGTTGTTATGCTGATACCGAGCTGAAATCAGTATGGAACTCATGCCCACTTGTGAGCAAGTCCATATTTCCACTTTCTTGATTGGAAATGAGTTGAGCAGCTGGGTGGCGATATGTATTACTAATCAGCTCAGGTGTTGAACCTAGTCAAAACGCCTGCCTTCCTTTGTATTCCATATTGATGTCGATAGGGCAACAATTTAATTAGTTTGAATATCGGCTGTGAAATGTTTGTTTCATTACAAGGGAGGTCTGAAAGCGCCCATAGAAAAATTATGAGTATGATATGTGCGTCAAGCCCATAACGTGGGATCCAGTTTTGGATATTTATCCATTGGACCTTAGCAATGAGTTGGCTTTATATAATAATACGTCTTGCTGATGCTCTCTTTCACGACGCTACCTTGAAAAATGGTGAACACTTTGCTGTTTATCTTGACTTTCAAAACAACAGCGACTGAGGGTCACATAGAAAACTGATTGGTGTTAGTACTAATTTTCTTTTTCAAAAAAATCCTGCTGAGTGAGCCGTACGGGTGCGTTGTAGTTCTTATGCGCATGTTTTTTGAGCTCAAATGCAATACTTCCTAGCACGTAGGTGTGACGGAGCAAGGCGACCTTGACAAATTGTACCATTGCTTCATCGCCCCTCTTACAAACTCAATTAATTGTTTTAATGGTAGCCTGCCGTTTGACGAGTTAACGAGCTCGTGTGGGTGAATGATCTCGGATTGTCTCTCCTTTTGATCTTTTGCTCCTTCCGTTTCCAAATACTCCTTCATTGACACTTGACATTGGATAGCCTATTCTAGTGAAATCGCACAAGAACTGCTCCATCTGACGACCTGGCTCAGGCTTAGTTTTGTTTAAAATAGCGGTATTGTTTTATTCTAATATCTGAAACAGCTTTGGGAAGGTGAACGGGTCATACGTAGCCTTTTCTGCTGGCTTTCCCTATTCATCAGTCTTTTTCATTAGTTCACAAGGCGACTTTTTCTCAGTCATAGCTTCAGTCAAAAGTGGCAGAAAGGGTGAAAATGGGATACTTCCTTCCAGAGCTAATCCTCTCTAAGTAGATTTGTTTCTCTGTGGTGGTTACTTCCGTCACGTAGTACATGCGAAACTAGACCTCTTTATTCAAAGGCTTCTTTTCGAGAGTTCTCATGTGATGAACGCAGAACTCAGATCTGTTGTTATGTCTTCATAGGCAACTGACGTTCTTGTAACTGATACGCACCCTTCTTACTGTATTGAAGGGCCTCATACAAAATGTCGTGAATGTCTTGTTATCTTTTTTTGCTATTCTCCTGCTGACGTAGCCGATTTTTAAGCTCCAGTGATCCATTGTTTATTTATTCATTTAGCTGCAATTTCTTGTTTCTTTCACCGCGGAACCTAGAAATGGTGGATTCCTGCGCTTCCGTAGTGTTAGTGTGCTGCGCATGCCTTTAAATTCAATGGCTTTGCTTCTAAAGAATTTATAGTTTGCGAGATCTCCTGGCACGCATCATACATGACCATATCCTATATTTTCATATTGACTTTTGCTTGACTTTTGCTGTAATTATGCGACAATGAAAAATCGTATTTAGACTTTCTACACTGATCTTTTCGGGCAGAACATCTTGAATAAAGATCATGGTTCTAAAGGGCATGCTCATGGAACTAAGGCTGCCCCCGCAAAGGTAAGCTTTGTAAATTTTTATCGTGCAAAGAACCTTTTTTGTGGGATTAAGCGAAGAGCTGAAGAGCATGTTCCAACCTCTCTGAACGAGAATTAATGGTTATGGTTTGATGCTGAAGAAGTCAAACCATAGAAGTTGTAGGACTGAATGATCTTAATTCATTCAAATTCATACACTCTTAAGGCCTTCCGTTTTCAAACAGGTTGGCGATCCCTGATGTGCGGTACAGAAGAGGCTAAGAATTGCGGTAGCAGTACTAAGTAGGAAAATAGTATCCGTTACCTACAGGAGAAAGGGACGCTCTATAGTGAAGCACACCTATAGCAAGCGTCTTCAGAAATTTGTAGTTTTTCTATTCAGGATGAAGAAGATGACGAAAAGCCGGAGCCAGTTGCTGAAAAATCAGAGCCGAGAGAGCCCGAAGGGGAAACCCAGCCATCTGAAAGTCAGTCCGAAGCTTTCTCCTCACCAAGCAGTATGGAAAAAGAAACACCGCCGCCAACTACAAAGCGTCAAGAGAAGGCTCGGGATAGTCACAAGGAAGAGGATTCGTTGCACAAGCATGTAGAGGTACGACGTATCATTTTTTATGAAGCCACTTTTCAGATTATTGGGTTGTGAGCACAGTGTAATGACTCTCATTACAGGCGAAACACAAAGATGCCAATGCTCAAGGACGGCAAGCACTCTGATTCACAAGCTGAAAAGAGTTC